ATATATATATATATATATAAAAATAAATAAATACACCTCAAAAGATACACCTCAAAAGTAGCAAATCTGTGTCCAACATCGGCATCTAAAATAAGCAAACACGCAGATTAGAAACGGTAACAGGTTCGGAGAGTGACAAGGGTGAAGAGGAACAGGAAGCTATTTTCACCCTTTGGTATTAAGCGGAGGTGAGTTGGGACTGAACTTCTTAGCTGTGATACTCACTTCCATATGTGCAATCGTGAGCTGTGTGAGAACTGCAGGGTGTTAAAGACAAAGTGGATCCAAATGTGTAAATGCAAAAGGAGCTATTTGAAATGTCTATAACACTCCTCGCAAAGTGCGATCAATGCCTTGTACACACGAGAAGCTTATTGCTATGGCATGTTTAAATAAGGAATGCATTCACCCGTAAATGCTTACGCGGCTTTAGTCGACTGTTACACTGAAGCAGCAAACTCAACTCGAACTTAGATTTAGCGATACTCTTTAATAACACTGGGAGAAATGCAAGAATATTAGGGCACCGCAGTGGGGCAAAGCTTTTAAAATATGATGAATCCAGAAACTGCATGGTGAGAGGGAGGACTCGTTTATTAAAAATATGAATCCAAATTCGACACTTGAAACCAACAATTAACCACAAAGCCATTAACAAACTGTCAGAAGCTTGAAATGCATCATCGCATCACTGTGCATCATTATCATTGCCATTATCAGAGACGTCATGAGAGACTTCAGCATAGACTTGTGCCTTTTTTTATTTTTTATTCCACCACAGGAGGGTAGGAGGGTACCACGAATGACAAAGAGGAAATGTGCAATGATGTCCACTGAACCCTGGAATGAAACTTGCTCCAAACTCTTTCCATCGTCAAACCTCCCACGTGCTTTCAAGTCTAATCAGTTATAAGGTGAGAACACAATGTATCATGATACAGAATTCTACCACACCGATCACAAAGTTAGTGTAGCATTTGTCTGACAGGTATGATTCTCTCTCTCTCTCTCTCTCTCTCTCTCTCAGCACTCTCCTAAGTATCTCTCTCACGCTCTTTCTCACTCCCACTCGCTCTTTCTTCCTCTCCCCCTCTCTCCCACCTTCCCTCTCGCTCTCTCTCCCTCTCGCCACATATGCACATCCGTTCTCTGAAGTGCTTATCTCCGAGGGTCACGAGCGTGGTGGAGCCAACCCAAGGTGTCTTTCCAGTTTAGGCGGGGTACATCCTGAGCTGGTAGCCAGCCAAGCGCAGGGCACACGTAGACAAACAACCATTCACATTCACGGTCACACCTTTGGTCAATTTCGAGTGTTCAATTACCCATGAGCTGGCCCTCTGCCACGATAGAAGAGCTTGAGCTGCCCAGGGCTATTGTTGGGTGAACAGTTGGCAGTCACAATATGCCCCCGTCAATGAGAATACATTGGATTATGAGTTTATTTTATGATTATGACCCACCATAACATTCCATTTTGAATCCAAGCCTCTGAACATGATTTCACATTGTGTAAGCTACCATCGTTTTCATAGTTCACGTATCACCAACGTGGTGCCCGCGGGATCACGTTTCTTTTTTGTGTGTTATTGTTCGAAAATAGAAGTAGCTGCACTTACAAGTAAGATGTATCCGATATTTTTTGTTGCTATTCTTTTTCAGTCACACTAGCACAGGTGTACATTTGGTAATGACCATCAAAAGGGGAAAAAAATAGCATGTCAAATGTCAGCATTTGTATTATCATATTCGTGAAGAAAAGCTACAGCAAGAGATATGGAGGAGTTTAACACTCGATAATTTGAGCTTTTTTTTTTTAACTTGAATGCATATCAAACTGGTAGCCTTCCGCATTAATCAGTACCCAAGCAGAAGTTATTTTGAATTAGGTTGGCGACGGCTGATGTATACACTGCTTCCATCAACAGTAGTGGTATTTGATTGACAGTTAACAGTTGAGCAGGATGTGGTTCCTTGCGCATTGAGTAGAAAAGCCCAGAAGCATTTGAGAGCAGAGACAACGGGTTGATTTTTTTTCATTATGCAACCTCATTTTACTTATTAGGGCCATTTTATAAATACTTGGCTAATCTCAGCTCTGTGTGAGAATCAAGATCAGCGCCAGTTTGCACTTGGGATGTCGCGGAGACTCTGCACAAAATGTAATCTGCCGCCATTCATGAGCGAGACCACTGTTTACTGCTCTGCCACAGCCATCCCATAGTAACCCTTGACAGTGACAGACAGTGGCAGGCAAAGTCGCGACACAATCAACGTGGTGGAGTGTGGCTTTCCACTGATGGAAAGGCTTGTAGTGTTTACGGGGGGTATTCCGATGGCTTTTCAGAGTGGATTGAGAAGTCTCTCTCGAGCACATCTCTCTGGAAGTTTCACTCTCGCCCCTAAATTAATTGAACGTCACTCAAAGAGAAGGCGAAATTGTGAGAAAGAAAATGAGAGAGTGACTTAGACCGTTGTCTTAATGCAATAGTGGTCACAGCATCCACACTCAATTTAGACTGGGTTTAATTTGGGGCTACGTGGACTAAATACAATTAAGGCGCTGCTGCTTCCACGCCACAACATTTCAGCAAGAAACTAAAGAAGCTGTGGAGTTACGGCAATGTCTGCCAACACCTTGAGCAATAAACTGCTGCCAAACCAGGAATGCTACTGGTAGGAGGCATTAAATGGACGTGGATCTGAATATCTGCTGCACCAAATACTGTACATACATTGTAAGTGCAAGGAGGGAGGGACGGATAGATAGACAGATGGATATTTTACCTTCCATCTCCACTGTGGATTTGCTTGTTTCTTTTTCTTCTGTCTTCGCAGCACTTAGCTCATCTTCTGCTGAAAAAAAAAAAGCAAACAATGGTCAGGACAGGTCTTTAATTCATTTTACCAACAGCATCTTCTGCGATGGGTTGTCATACCTGCGAGGCTGCAATAAAATGTCGGAATAATCTCATCTCGAATCTCATTGCAATTCCCCAGAAATCAAATATTGTAAATTGTAATTTCGAACGAAGCTAATAATGTTGGTTTGCACATCTGCCCCGCTGGATTCAAATCTCATCTGCAGCAGGTTAGCATATTTTCTTGCCTACGTTTTCTCCCCTGATACTCAAGCTTCCACCCGCATTTCAAAAAGATGCATGTTAGGTTACATTAACATCCTAAATTATCCATAGGTGTGAATGTGACTGTGAATTGCTCTGGGACGATAAGGTCTGCGCTCTACGATTGGCTGGCGAGTAGGACGGAATGTGTCGAATTTCTCGAAATCAGCTGGGATAGGCTCCAGCTGACCTGGGACCCCGATTAGGTCAACTATGCTGTCACAGGAATGGATGGATGCAAGAATGGCTCTGTACCTTTATCGTCTTCTTTATCCTTCTTTTCGCTGACTGTGTCTTCATGTTTATTCTGTTCGGTTCCAATATCGTCACATTTGCCTTGACTGTTATTTTCATCTTCCTCTTGATTCAGCTCCTCAAGGGCCACGTCGTCATCTTGACCAGCAACAAAACACATGAAAGGTTTTGAAGGATTCACTTAGATTTCAGGTGAGTCAAGGCTTCAAATCAAGATGTGTGACATTTCCCATGTGCGTTTGCAACCATTTTCATATGAAGAGCATTGTTGATGACTTCAAAGATTGGGGAAAACCGATAGCTAACTAAAAGAGGCGGTTCATGAAAAGTAACTGCCCAGAGGTATTTTTTCTTTCTTTCCCCTCAATGTAGTCATGAGCTACGTTAGTCTGCCGCTGTTGTTTCATGTATTTTTCCCTTTGTTGCTCCCAAGAAGGTTGATTACAGATCTAACACCTTGGATAGCAGGCAAGGGATGCATTTACCACAACACGCTTATTGAAAATCTACAAAATACATGTTTGGAGACACTATTTGCTCCATCTGTCAAAATGTTGTCACTGGAATAGGATTTACATAAAATAAGAAGAAATTCAAGGCAGCTCCCTGACAGCAATGCCAATCCTGAATGTTAATGACACTGGGAGGTAGAAAAGTTCAGATTCAAGACAAAAAGAAATATTCCCTGCTCCTGGTTCATGGTTGTTCCTTTTATCACACACAAACAACAAGCAGACACAATGACTTCATGTGAGCCTGTTTTAGGAGCTGCTGGATCAGATTTATTTGTGTGTGATTAAGTCCTTCGTGACAAAACCTGCTCATTAACGTTGCCGCAGACAATATATTTATTTATTTGTTTTTTTTTTTTTTTTTTTTTGCAAGTGTACCATACCTGGGTTCTGGCTTTCCATTACCACGTCTTCAATTCCTTCCGCATCTAGAAACAAAGAGTTCAAAATGGAGAAAATATTTGGGCCCCGGAGTCAAAAGGACTCGTCTTTCGATATCACCGAAAACAGCTTTTTCATTCCATCGCTTTATGCCGCTTTGTCTTTGCACTGCAGCGTGAGAGCGATGAAACCACAAAGGCATGCATAAATTAAGTGACAGAAAGAAAGCGGGAAAATAATGTCACTTCCAAAGCCATACATAATTGAAAGATTTTCTTTGTTCCAAGCATCTGTGATAAGACAACTGATTTTTTTTTCTTCTTCTTCTTTAGTGTTGGCATGCGGGTTGGAAAGACTGAAGTGGAGCAAATAGTACATTCAATTTTTGATGACACCAAGAAACAGTGGCAGAGCCAAGGGGCTGTGAGCATGTTAATGAGCCGTAAAGTGACATTACCACTGTCAGCCTTGTTTTCATCACCTGCTTCTTCTTTTCCTGGAAAGGAGAGAAAATGTTCACCATTTGAACTTGAGAACACCACGCACATAGAATGAAAAAACACACTAAAGATGAAAACATTTTGTATTGATAAATGATTCAGATTGAATATTGAACCTTGAAATAAATCATGAACCTCCAGTGTAGCCAGCGTGTCTTTCATCTCGTGGCAGTTTACACTGGACCACTTTTCACTCATCAATGCAACAAAACGACAGAGCTCTTTTGAAATCCGTCTCAAAGTCAAAGTTTTGGAAAAACAACAAAAACCAAACATTGCCTTATGATTCACTTCAGACATTATAAAGGGTGAAACATGAATGGGGCTGTCGTTGGCGTGTGCCACCGAACAAAAGGATGCACAGAATTCTTCGCCAACTCTTTCTAAATTAACTGTGATCGGAGGACACACAATATTCCCATAAATCAAATGCTCAATGTGTGTGTGTGGTTTGGGCCAATGCGTGGTCTGCAGGTATTTTGCAGCTTCATGACAATGAGGATAATTTTTTCCATCTTGTTATCTGTCCGTGAAAATATTTTAAAAGAAAAGAAAAAAAAAATCCCCTTTCCACAGTTGGTGATTTAATTTCTTTTTCGGTGGAAAAGCCATTGTTGTTGTTTCTGTTGGACATGCATGCTCTTTCACTGGCTGATAAACGGTACATCTTTAACAGTGTTGGGGTTTCACCGCTTTCCAGAAAACGGTGTCAGACAAAATTTAATTTTGGGGGGGTTTCAAATAGTCCCTCTACTTCAGAGAAGGAGCGTAATGAATCCAAAAAAAAAAAAAAAAAAAAAGCATTCACTTGATTTGCGTAGGGTAGGTGCAGCTAAATTACTGAGATGTTTCTATTTATAATATACTTTGACTCCATGGTCATTCAACTGGACTGTAAATGCGTTATTATTTCATCAATCCATCTACTTCCCGTATGGCTTTTCTGTTCAGGCTCACAGGGAGTATTGAAGCCACCGACCGGTGCAGCTCCAGGGCAGTGTCATACTTTAACTGGCAAATATATATTTTTCATACTATTCCCATCTTAATGAGATTATTTTTTTTCCACGCCATGTGATGTTAAGAATGGTTGCGCATCTTTTTAAATGGAGTGGGCTCCTTGTGCTTTCTTAATTCCCGATTGGACCAAGATTCAACTGCTGATTGACGACCTTCACTTTTGGACTAAATAAGGAACTAAGGTCACCTTTCATTTGTAACATCAAACAAATACAATTGACATCAGCGTTTTTATCCACACACGCACACGCACGCGCGCGCGCACACACACACACACACACACACACACACACACACACACACACACACACACACACACAGTATGCAAACCAATGACATTTGGCAGCGTGTGTAAATGCAAGCCATGACACCAATAAGAGAACATGTTTCACACAATGGCTACTGTGCAGCTTCTATAATTGCTTTTTTTTTTTTAACAAGCCGCACAGAGAAACCATTTGCCATATCTGCACCAATTTTGCCATGCACGCAGAACAATAAAAACGTCAGCCTCTATTAAATGGGAAAAGTCCAGTTCGAGCATCGCTGCATGTTTATCTCGAGTGCCTCTGTCCATCATGCCGACGACTGGTGACACGCAGTCGATGACAATCCTTTTCTATTAATCATGACTGACATTTGGAGATGGAGCCTCACTGAGAGGGCCAAAAGGAATATCTTAGTGGGAAAAAGCAGGTTAAGATGAAGACAAAGGTCTCACACTGCGTTGAAAATGCCTGAATGACTGTCATAATTATAGTTTGCGATCCCAAACAACATGTCAGACGTAGAAAGAGGAAAAATGCAATTTCACCCCCATACCCCTCCCCACTGGATTTACTAATTTATTTTGATTTTATTGGGAACAACAGTGCTCAATCTGCACAAAGTAATGCCCCACGCACAGGGTGACAAAATATCATATGTAGGGCAGCTGTGATTTATAATGGCTCCAAGATTAGGACCATTAGAAGGAGGGCTCTCCACAACGACCCTCCCCACCCCCCGACGTGGCAACCCATGCATTACAAACAGCAGGTGGCAGCATTGTCACAAGCGTTCTTGTCCACTTGAAGTGTACTTAACCCTTTTTTCATCGCGAATGCAAGTCCAACGTACTTCACTACTGGTCAGCAACTACATACAAAATGGCTCTCCGCTCAAACCCGCACTTCAATACTCAGCATTAATGAGGAGATATTTTTTTAAATACCATTCACCAATATTCCCATCGTTTTAAGTGAGCGGCCACACAGTGTTCTTTTTTTAAATGTTTTTTTACATAAAACAAAAACATGTCTTACAGGCACGTGGATGATTTATTTATGACCTCCATGGGGTTAAGTATAACAAGAACATAAATGATTTAAAAGGTGATATGCAACCTTCTCTCTATGTCCTTGAGTAGAGTGGATATCCGGATGGATCTCATACTCGGTAATAAATGAGAATCAAACACATTCTTTCCACTGCCCTCTCATCCACCCCTTCTATTAAAGCCAACTGGAGCAAATACAAGAAAAAAAATCACGAGGCATGTGCAAGAAGGCCACTGGGATGACCAAAAGCTCACATTGAAAGGATTTTTTGCACGTGTTTGTCAGCAATGCCTGTGGAGTGGCTGAGCGTCGGCCCACTCATCGTTATTCCTCTCCATGTACGGTCCACACTCAGCACCATTGCTCTTTCATCCTCGCCTTTTTACCAGCAATCCTTAGCAACCTAAATAAACACATCCAGCAAGACATTGATTTCTGGCTCAAGGTTCACATTTTGTTGTGCCCTGTGACACCCACTAATCTCACTAATACCAAATAGTAAACACTGCGGGGCTGCTTGCCAACTCAGGTGATGTCTCTATTAAAAAAAACAAAAGCCGCAGTACTTATCTATGGCCCTTTATTTTTTACAAGTTGGCCATTCGAGTCAAGAAACATTATTTCCAACGTGCCCATTGACATGCATGTTTCTCCCAATTTTACATATTTGGGAACATTTTTTTGTCTTGTCTTGCATATGCAAAAAAAAAAAAAAAAAAAAAAAAACTGAAAAAAAATTTAAATGA